TTTTTTTAACCAGAAAATGATAAAAAGACAATTTTCATTTTTGGATGAACTGTCCCTTTAAGAAATTTCCATTAACTTCTACATTGATGGCCATTAAAACAGGCCATTTTGTAGTTTGTAACAACTGTTAAACCCGGGCTTAACAACACCATAACTTGAAGGCATTTAATTTTTTGGGCCTAATGAGCTACACAATTGTGTGGATAATTAATGATAATTTCTCTCATTCACACTCACACCTGAGGGGTGTTTTGACATCTGGATCAACATTTACTCTGAGGTACTAACAAGTCTAATGAGCTTACCAACTTCAAAATAACAGACCTGATTTGCTGTTTTGGCAGTTCAAGAAAGACATAAAACAGGTCAAGAAAATAAGAAAAGAAAGTCTTGAGTGTATGTGTGGAGATTGCTACAGCGGACACTGACGCACTTGGACACTTGGGCAACGGTCACTCCCTCTGCAAACACGCGCACACACACACACAAACACTTGCATTTGTTTACAGGGACTCTCCATAGGCGTAATGGTTTTTATACTGTACAAACTCCGTTTTGTATGTTTTTTAAGCCTTTTGTTTTACGGGGACACAGGAAGACAGGAAGTGTCCTCATAAACCATGTTTACGTTGTAGTACCCATGTCATTATACACATTTGTGTCCTCATAAACCATATATACCAGTACACGCGTGCACACACACACACACACACACACACTGGCCACTCCCTCTGTAAATAAGTGGTGTTTCTGCCCAGACCAACGCCTTGCGAGTGTGCAAACACACATATGTAAGTGGGTCAATAAGGCCGGTGCTTTCCTGTAGATGTCTGTCAACATGACCTCCTGCAAAACACCACACCCAACACACACACACACACACACATATTACCTCATTAACACAAACATTACTTCATTCAGCGCAGACACACACTTATCAAGACACACCCAAATATACTGGAGAAACACACACACACAACAACAGCGCTCTTGGCACGCATTCTACTTTAAGGAAGTCTACTCATATTACTGCACATACATCATATACTTTTTTTCCGTAAACAAAAAGAAGGTCAGTTCTCCAGAATCAGATACTGGACACCTTTTAATTGAATATACAAACATAGTCCACACAACTACGGATGCCTATTTCTGCTTTAAAGAAAAACATGAAGTACTTGAAACTTTGTATGTCACAACTGTAACTTTATTTCTCCCAACCGTAACTTTATTTCTCACAGTTTGACTTTATTTTTAACTTTATCTCACAAAGACCTTACTGAAGTATTTTTAACCACCATAAACCATAAAACTATCATAAAAGTAGTCTTGTAGCCTATATTCCAAGTCTTCTGAAGCCATCTGTTAGATCAGTGTTATGAACATACCAAAATGCTTTTGTCATTCATTTTTATATCCTTCTGTCCCGAGTAGGCTATACAATAGAGACCCACCCAGATCTTTTATTTACACTCTTTTGTCCCCATACAAGGTAGATATTTGGTAATGTCAAATTGATATGAAATTAAGCCAATAGGTTTAAGTAAACTTAAAGCATAATTAAACTATTTTAATTTGTTTAATTAATATTATTTAGTGTAATACTATTGTTTTTATTTCATCAGTCAAATTATAATAATATC